TGGTCCTGATTTAAAGAACAGTGCTAAAGCTACTAATTCTCTTTTCCTCCTAATTCTTAAAACTTAAATCTTTACTCTTTCTCTCTCTTATTTACTTAAGAAACTTAGTCAAGTAGATGCCAGTAAATTGCAACACCTGAAATTTACTGTTTATGTCAACTCTGAGTGAAATTTTTGTGCCGTTATTATAACTTGTGTTTTTATGCATATAACAATTGTTATTAATATTTGTATGTTTATTCTGGTCATATATCTAAAATAAATTACTTTATTTTGAGAAATCTGACAAGACCACAAGTTCTTTTCACATTCATGATCAGAGGAGTGTTTCATTAATTCTGATTTCCTTCTGCAAGATCTTGTGGGACATGACTTTTGTGAGATTAAGCTGGTATTAATCTCATAAAGCAGGTTCTTACAACATCCAGCCCAGTGCTAGCTCTAGCCATTTTGGTGCCCTAGGCAAGTTGTTGAAGCGCAACCCCCGCCCCGAACTATGTCCCACCCTCCCCAATTTAAACCCCTAAATACAAGTTTGACAGGTACTATGGTAAACTTAGATTTATTTGCTTTCCCTTTTTCTAACCTAACCCTAACCCTAACCACCCTAACCCTAACCCTCCTCCAGGCTCTCCAGAGGGGGGTCCCAGATGCCTCTCATCCCGGCTCTCCAGAGGGGGTCCCGGATGCCTCTCCTCCAGGCTCTCCAGTGTTGCCTCCGAGGGATTTCCGGACGCCCCTCTCCACTGTACCATCTCTCGAGTCTGTCTCTCCTGAGTCCTGTTTCRGCATCCTCAGCAGGGGGGAAGCTGCAGCCCCAGTTGAGCTCTCATCGCCTGCTGCAGCCCAAGCTGATCTCATCGCCTGCTGCAGTCCCATCTTCTCCGTCTGGTCCACCATCTCCCTCATTTTCAGTTTCCGAGTATCCTGAGTCTAAAGGTGGGAACATACTCACTCCGACGCCGACGGGTCGATGCGCGGCCACATGGTTGTTCGGCAGTCGTTTTCGCACAGACCTTTCATGGTCCCTACGACACCCCCGCGCCGAATTCGGGAAACACCCTTCCCTGAAACATACGTCACTGCATGGAGTTCCCCCGCAACAGCCGATAATGTAGAAAAAAATGTCAGAATTTCTCCCCTCAACAGCAATGCAGGCACACAAGCTGGGGGCTTGTGCCAAAGGGGCTGTCGACACGACGCTGCRAAGCCCGGTGACGTAATTTTCATCATTAAACTGCGACAACCCGTGCCGACGTCGGCAGTTCGCATGGAGTATGTTTCCAGCTTAAGCCTGCCCCAGAGGTCTCCTGGTTTCTGTCCGGACTGATCCAGGACCTCACCCAAAAAATGCAGAAATTACTATATAATATAAATGACTATATTAAAAATAATGAATTGATGTTAAATTTAGGATGCAGTAGTCCAGCTGTTTCAGTTTATGTACATACAGTGGTTTGCAAAAGTATTCATACCCCTTGAACTTTTCCATATTTTGTCACATTACAACCACAAACATAAATATATTTCACTGGAATTTAATGTGAAAGACAAACACCTCTCCTTGGGCTGCTACCTTATCGTGGTGGAGGGGTTTGAGTGTCCCAATGATCCTAGGAGCTATGCTGTCT